AAGTCCTGCCACTGTGTCTGCCTAAGCAGGCGCTTTAATCCACTGAGCTAGTTGGCCAGCACTAAAGATTCTTTTTTTTTTTTTTTTTTTTTTTTTTGCTAGCTCAGGCTGCCTTGAGAGTGAGTCTGTTGTCTGTTGTGTCTTGTGGTGCTGGGATCGAACCACAGTCCCCTTGACCTGAGTCTGCTCAAGCAGGCACATTAGACAACTGAGCTAACCTGCAAGCCCCCCAAAACCAGAGAAGGATTATTTTTTATTTTTTTGACTGGCCCAGGCTGCCTAAAGAGCGGTTGTGGTGTGGCATGTGGTGCTGGGGATCGAACTGAAGTGCCCTGCGCCTGACTGAGTTTGCCCAGGCAGGCACTTTAAACAGTGGAGCTAACACAGAAGCCCCTGTTCTTTGTTCTAAGTTTGTTTCCTTTGTTCTCCTGCTAGTGAACATTAACAGTAGCAGAACTTTTCTATATCCTGTGGTAATGTGAAAATATTTATCTTCATTTTAACTTCCTCCTGCATTTTTCCCCCAGTACTTCAACTGCTTATGGATTCTTTGCAGGTCCTGCATTATCCTTGTGGTTCCCCTTAGCTGTGTCATAGCATTTATGAAGTCCAGGGGGCACCCAGATTGCTAAAATATGTACTCAGGATAGCAAAAAGTTCTATAATCTTAAAAGAAATTTAATTCCTACATACACAAAATAAAACCTGTCCTTATTATGGTGTTGAATATAATTAGAAAAAGTAGGAACTTAAGAATTAGAAATATGAGAACAGCATGAAGAAAGAACATTGTTAGAGTTTGTATAGTAAATTTCTATGAGGAGGTGAACTGTTGGAAACCTGTGTTCACCAAGTATGTGTAGGCAGGTTTTAGGTGGGGAGGAGTACGAGCCTGTGAGGCTTCTTTGGAGTAGTTCCCAAGCAGTGGGGAAAGTTCCAGGAAACACCAGATGTTGTGGAAGGTCATTCTGCTCTCCTGTCCCAGCAGTGTCTCTTGAGCAAATCATGTATGAGTCTGTGGTGTGTGGGTGAGGAGCCATGCTGGACCATTGCACAAGCCTGGTGCTGTTGGTGAGGAAGGAGGTCTTCAGACAATCAAAGCACAGAATGATTCAAGAGGATTAAAGTGCCTGAAAGCAGGTGCAGGGGCCTGGGGTTCCATCCCTGGCCTGCAATGCTGGCCCTGCTCCCAGGACACACTGAGAGGTTGGTTGAGACTGGGCATGGTGGCACATGCCTGTAATCCCAGCTCTTGGGAGACTGTAAGCAGGCAGACCACTATGAGTCCGATCTAGTAGTGAGGCCCTGAACACTCTGTAGACCCTTCCCTAAAATATAAAAAAGAAAAGAGGATTCAAGAGGCCTTTCTCCAGAATGAATGAAACGTGTGCTTTTGGTGCTGCACGCACAGTCAGTTGTGCTGCTGTTGGGGTCTTAGTAACATCCCCTTGTCATGGTGACGGGATTGCTCATTCTGGAATCTGTCCTCCTATTCTGCCTATACGCAGATCATAGGTATGGAGGTCACTGCTTTCTGTGGGCTTCGGCTCACTGTCTTGTCTGTCTGTCCCTTCAGTGCAGTCACGCAGATCTTAAAGGGAAGGAAGGTAGGGTGCCTCCTGCCGCCCTGTTTCTGTATGATAATGCTTTGTTCTGTAAATAAATATAAAATGTGATGAAA